GAGAGATCCTTTGTCTTGTAAAATTTACCTTTCTTGTGATCATTTGATCTATCTCATGTGATTTCCTTCTTCACATGTGATACCCTTTATTTCATTCCTTTGTTGAGTTCTTTCCTTAATAACTTATCAACTCAACAAAATCCATCGCCGTTGGTTCCACAATTTTTGTGTCCAAGTTCAATTCTTGGAGGTGATTTTCTTATTAATTAGATTATCTTCTTTTTTTCTTCTTTTATAGGGAGTTCCAGACGAAATATATTTAGACCAAAAAAAATAAAATATAATATAATGCTATAATTACTGATTCTGCGTCTCAAAATCAAGATGTAAAGTAAGTTAATGAGTTTAAATTTGTAAATTATTAATTTTTGCAGAAAAAATTTGGTATCAGAGCAGCAGGATGTTTTTTTTTGCCCCCACTTTGCTCATCAAACAAATTTAATTATCAGGGAAATTTTTAAAGTCTCCTAATTTGGTTATTGCATCTGAAAAGGCTATTCGTATTATTGCATATCTTAACAAATCTATGGCTAGATTACATGATGAACAAAAAATAAATATTTTAAATATTTTGCGTTACTTCTTCCATTGGAATTCTCATTATTATTGGTATTTTAGTTTATTACAAACAAAATCAGATTTAAAGGTATTTACAATTATAATTTACAAATACTTTTAGTTAAACATATTTAACTTTATTTCTATATTTTTTAAGTGCTTATTTCTAATTATGCTCCTGAAGAATTTGATCAAGAAGGTCAAGACGAAGAAATTTACTATTCTGATAAAGAATCTGAAGCATGAAATAATAAGGTTTTGTCACTTGACATTTGTAAAATTATTGATAACGAAGTTTGGTGGAAGGAAATTAGGCAATTAAAAAAGCTTTTACTTCCTTTTTGTAGAATGTTAAACAAATTACAAGCAGATAATGCCCGTTTTGCTGGTTATTTTTATAAAATATGGCAAGAATATTCTGACTAAGATTTAGGGGAAAAAACGATTTCACGTTTGGAAAAACAGTGGCATATCTTTACACATTGAATATTTTCATTAAAAGTAATCAATCCTTTTCTTTTGCTCAACTGAGTGAATGGATGATTTACTATTTTTGTGCTTGGTTTAAACGGATGCCTAACACATTATTAGGAGAATTGCAAAGTTATCAAAAACAAGATTTTCCATTTAATAATATTTCATAAAACAATTTCGACATAGTATATCCCTATAAAAAAATTGGATACGTTTTTTATAAAGTTTTTATACGATTTTTTTTCCTTAGAAATAACGTATCATAATAGGATACGGAAAAATGCACAATTCCGTATCACTAAAAATATGGTTTGGATACGGAATTTGCACGGGATTTATATGGAATTTACATGATTTGATCACTGATTTTATCACGAAATTTATACGATTTGGTCACTGAATTTACTATTTGTATTACAGTTTACTATAATTGTATTTACATAAATCTAATTTCACTTTATTAAATTAAATAAAAAATAAAAAATAAACAAAATACAAATACATTATGAAAATTCCCTCCTTATTAAAACCAACCTATTGCAACCAAAATTATCTATAAGTTCAGGTTCATTTGGAGTCAAACAACCTAAAAGAACAAAAAAAAAGATTGGAAACAAAACCCCCCCTC